TTCTTAAAGAATTCTGAAAGAAATCCACATTCTATTAAAAGTCTCTGTGTTAACTTTACCCTACAGTACTCTGTTGTCTCTCTCTCCCAACTCCTGCCTGTTGCTGTGGGTGCTCTGTGGCTTCTCATCCTCCCTCCTCCACCAAAAACAAATAATCCCTCCCCCCAAATGAAGCCCTCCAAAAGAAAGCAGGATGGAGGTAGGACAGATCCTCCTCCCTCACCACTGACATGGTGGGATGGGGGCTTGGCTTGAGACCTCCTATGCTGAGAGAGATCTTTGCTCAGCTGCCCGCCCTTCTGTCTGTCTGCCATCTGGTTTAGCATGTCTGTCCACACTTGTATGTGTCCTTCTGGCCCCACATGACCCTCCATCCCCACTCCCTGTTCTTCCTCTAAGTTCTGGTCCTGCTTCCTGCGTGTTCCTGTTCTTTTTCTTGCTTCTCTGTCTCTGTCCTTGAACTGTGTGCTGGCCTTGAATGGGAGGGAGCCCCATTTGCAGTCCTCTTTCTGCTTCCATCCCTCCCTTCCCCAAGTCCCAGGCAAATTCACATTACTGTCAACCAATCCACTCACATAAAGAGAACTGTCTATATGTGTGCATGTTATCTCCTCTGTCAGAATTTAAGGGCAGGTGTGGGATCTACCGTATGGCAGAACAGCTTGTTGATTGATTGGTTGAAGGATATCATGCCCCCTTTAACCTGGAAACAGCACAGCGCCAAGATTTTTGTGTTTCTAGTTTCACTATTTTTGAGATTTAACAAAACCACTTGAGATATGTCTATGCCACCTTCCCTACCCCAAAGCATGCTTGTCTGGGTTCCCATGGTAGTATAGGGGGAAGCCTGTCCTAGGCTCATGCAGTTCCCTCCTGACACCAAGCCCCCCAGGAATGGAGACATAGGTCCAATTTCCCCTTTCTACGGTAATGGTTGGTTGGGAGTGGATAGCCATGATGAGCAAAGAAATATTAAGAGAGCTACTCTTTAATTCAAGTTACCTGGTCCAAGTAAGCTACTTCTTGGCAGATGTAGGGAAAACACTGCCAATGACATTTGAAAGATCCTAGAGAATGTCCATGATGCTGTGGGCCCAGAGAAAGGAAAGCATCCTGATTTCCTTCAAAAGGAAAAGAATGGGAACTGCTCTGCCAACTATAGGCCAGTGAACTTGTCTTGGATTTCTACAAAATTGTAGAGAGAACTATGCAAGCAATGCTGGATGAACAGCTAGAGAAAGAAGAGGTGATCACAGATTGTTAGCATGGCTTTAATAAAAACAAGTCAAATGATTCTAAATTTGTTTCCTTGTTTGATGGAGGATCAGGGAGATGCCACAATTAGAATTCAGCTGAATTTGGCAAAGCAATAAAGGCTCTCATGCTATTCTTGTGGGGAGAGGTAGATTCTGCCTTTATTATAGGACAATTGGAATCCAGATGGATTGAGAATTGTTTGAATGGCTGGACTCAAAAGATGATTTCTTAATGATTAGGTGGATAGCTCAGTCCTGAAGTCAGGAAGACCTGAGTTCAAATCCAGTGTCAGACATCTACTAGATGTCTGACACTGGGCAAGTGACTTAATCCTATTTGCCTCAGTTTCCCTATTTGTAAAATGAGCTGGAGAAGGAAATGGGAAACCACTCCAGCATCTTTGCCAAGAGAACCCCGAATGGGGTCATGAAGAGTCAGATGTGAGTGAACAGCAAGAAACATACAAGAAAGAAGTAGACTTGGAAGGAGCTCTCTAGTGGAGCGCCCCAGGGATCTGTTCTTGACCCTGGGATGTTTAACAATTTTATCAATGACAGATGGGATTCTTCCCTAGCTTTCAGGTAATAACAGAGTCAAGGGGGATAGTCAATACTCAGAGGCATAAAATCAGGTTTCAAATAGATGTTGACAAACTAGAACATTGGACTGTCATGCTAATCAAATTCAATATAATAGAGATATATGCAAAGTCCTATGCTTAGGTTTAAGAATAGACTTAACCAGCACTGGATGCTGTACATAGATAACAGTTTGCCTGAAAAAGACCTGAGGTTTCCATTCAGTAAGGACTTTAATAAACTGGTGAGTACTCAGAGAAGGGAGGCCAATTCAGTGCCTTGATATTGACTGCAGTGAGATTATGACAGGGAAGCACATATACGCACACACCCTCGATGTGATATGGGGATGTTTTGAGAGAATCCATCACAGCTTCCAGGAATAAGGAGGTGATTATGACTCTGTTCTCACACCTGGAAGGCTGTGTTCCTTTTGAGGCATGAGGGAGGATGCTGAGAAGCTGGAAGCAGCCAGATGGGGGCAGCTTGATGAGGGATAGGCCTGAAGTCCATCACACATGAGGATGGTTTACAGAGACCGGGGAGGTTCAGCTTGGAGAAAAGAAGATTCAGTGGGGAAATGATCACTGTCTTTAAGTACATAAAGCCAACCCTGGGGAGAGAGATTAAACCCATGTTGTTTGCCAGTGAAGACAACAAGAAGAATAAAACGTCCAGTTTACAAAGAGGTAAATTTAGACTCAGTGTCAGGAAAAACCTTCCCAAAATTAGAGCTGTCCCAAAGTGAAATTGGGCTGTCTCCTGATGTGATAGGGTCCTTTGCATTAAAGGTTCTCTTAAAAAAGGAATAGGTATTTGCTAGACGTACTCAATGTTTGGGAGTGGGTTGGTTAGATGGACTCTAAGTTCCCTTCCACTTCTGAAATTCTGCAGTTCTCTCCTTCACAATCACAGCTCTCTGGTCATCACAGTAGGGATTTATATATACAGAGAAAGTGGTGGTATGTGGACTCTGTTGGGGGCCATATTCCATCAACATCAGTCCATCCTTCTCTATGTGCTTGATGAAAATCAGCAATCTACTGGAAAGCAACCCAATAAATCAGCTTTAATCCTCATCAGCCAATGACATTTACATCGTAACAATTTTCATTTGAAAGCGGTAGATAAGCCTGACCTCAAGAAAATTCGTGACATCCATCAGCAAGTCTTCGTCCTTCAAGGGAAGACCCTCATAGCAGTTCCTGACAATGGAGTGGTGCACCCAAGTGAGTAGGAAACTTGACCTTATTTTCTCTTTCTTTGAGGTAGTCTCTTGCTTTGGATGACCTTCTCTTTATAGTGTCCCCCAGGACAGATACCTGTAGTTCAAATAATTTCGGGAATGACTTGGGCAGTTATTACATAGAAATGGTGGGAAAAGGGTAAAGTCCTATACCAGGCACTGAAAGATGGTGAGGGAAGAGGCAGGCTGGTTTTTGTTAGAGTTAAACTGTGCTGTTCCATAAAGTCAGAGACGAAAGTGCAGTAGAACAATGCTTAGGGAGGATGGAAGAGGGAGGAGAAACTCAAGTTGATTGATCTTTTGAAATCCAACCTGGGAGAGTTCTAATGCCAGGGAAGTATGGGAAGAATGGGGCTGGGAGAAGGGGTAATGGGAGGAGAGAAACAGAGTGGAGCACAGGGATGGAGCAAATGGATCTGACCTGGGTTGCTGACATCCAGGAAAGAGGTTGGGAGCCTCCTCCATATGGCATTTCTTTACAGGCTAACTAGGGTGGTACAGTTGACAGAGCAATGAACTTGACATTAGGGAGAACTGTGTTCGATTCCTTCCTTAGCCACTTAATAATTTTGTCATCATGAACAGTCATCAGATATAAGTGAGGCTCTCTGAGCCTCATTTTCCTCATCTGTAAAATGAGGAGTTTGAATTTGATGACCATAAGGTCTTTTGTATGTCCCAGTCTATAACTTTATGGTAGCAAGTTGAAGTCCCAGGGAGCATGTTGAGTGGATGGATCTGGAATATGGAATGCCACACTCCCCGTCTTCTAGGAATATTGCCACTATTGTCTTTGTGACAAGTTGGGGGATGACTGTGACTGCGTGATTACTGCTTCACTCTCCAATCTTCCTGAGGAGTATGCGGCCACAATTATATTTATCTTTTGCAATCAGATATTTGCCCTCTAGAAGTACAATGCTTTCTTGGTGTTTAGGATAAAAGCTGATTTTGCTAGTCACTCTGGGAGTAAGTAATCCTCCCCTAGAACAGGAGGGCGTCAGTTAATGTAATCTCAGCCAGCTCCTATCCCATTCCACAAAATGCTAATTACATCAAAGATAATCATGTATAATAAACAAATGTAACTACCAAAGCAAACAGTAATTAGGGAAATTATACCAATTAGTTTGGGCAGAAGAATAGATATGGGTTAGTGGTCTGTGGGATTTGGAAGGGAGGGGAAATCTCAGCTCCACCAAGGAAGGAACAATCTCACCCCAGAGGTCTGCTCTTTGTTGCCTTTGGGAGTGCAGGTTCTGGGAATCAATGAATATGCATATTGTGGTGCTAGCTCCTCTTGGGCATCTTCTGTTTGCCAAAAATCAATCCTTTCTCCCCCATTCCACCTCTCTGTTTCTCCATTTCTCTGCTTCTCTGTGAGATTTATTTTTTTCAGCTAATCAGGAATCCTATCTCCTTCATGTATATCATACACAGCATAACAGGAGTATCTTTCAGGAGACTGCCAAGCCTGCCTGGTTAGGGTGTTACCTGAAGGGAAATCAGAGGAAGAATATTGCAGCCATGGCTGAAGCAACAGTTTGGGAGATTGGTCTTTTGTGAGGTCAGAAGTCCCTCCTCCTGGCATGCTTGCTGGGAGGACTGTGCTTCAGAGTTCAGGAGCTAGAATTCATGCCAGGGATTCCAAAGTCCAAAGGAAAAATGGAATCAATACGAGGACTAGACCATTGAGCAGATAACCTCTCCATCTAGGAATGAATGGAAAATACCCATAGACCTAAGCACTTCACATTCCTTCCCTTCCCTTCCCTAGACATTTCCAACTCAATATCACTGAAGCTCAAGTCCAACTGTGGCATTCCCCTGCTTTTTCTTTAGATGGATGGTGCCCTCCTCCATCACTTTCCTTTTTGTCAGAAATGGATTCTTGATCCTCATACTTTTTTCACCCTGTGTGGTCTCTGATTCTTGTATTCCCAGCCTTACTGACAAGCGTACCATGCCGAGATAAGTCTCTTGAAAATGGCAAAGGCAATCCTATTTACCTGGGAGTAGAAGGCCATAAACTGTGTCTGTGCTGTGAAGCTAGTGGAGGACAGCCCATACTGAAGCTGGAGGTGAGTTTCATAGCATCTCATAGAATTTCAGAGTGGAAAAGGATCTCAGAGGTCACCTAATGCAGCCAATACTTGAATTAGAATCTACTAGAAAGTGTTACTAACTTATGGTCATCCAGGGTTGCAATGAAATCTCTTGGGTTGTGATAAATAAGCTTTTGCCTTACCGTGCTAAAAACCAGGTCATCATGCCATGTCTTGGCTATTTCCAAACTATACCTATGCTCCATATGCTTTCTAGCTTTGTTTTATATGTTTTCTGGCATGTGATAGACCTTTTATAAATTCATTTTTCCTTTCTTTCTCTCTCCCTTTCTCCCTTCCTTCCTTCCTTCCTTCCTCCCTCCCTGTCTCTCTCCCCTCCTTCCTTCTTTTCTTCCTTCTTTCCTGTCATTGCCTTTCAATGTAGCTGATTCCACTTTGGAGAGCTTTAATCATTACGTTGTTTTGCCTTATATCAGTCCTGAATCTTTGCTGCAATATTCACACTTTCTTCCTAGTTCTGCCCCGTGGGATGAAGCAGAAAATATTTAAATCCTTCTTCTACTTGAAAGACCAACTGACACTTGAAAAAACATATCATGTCCTCCATAGAGCTGTTCTCTTTCAAGCTAAACATCACCAGTTCCTTCATCTCATTCTTTTTTTAATTATTTTAATTTATTAACAATAGCTTTCATAAGCTTTTGTTTTAACTTTTTCTCCCCCTCCCTCTCTGCCTCCTTCCCCAAAATGGCACACAATCTTATATAAGCTATACATATACATTCCCATTGAACATATTTTCACACTGGTGATGTTGTAACGAAGAATTAGAACCAATAGGAGGAACCATCAGAAAGAGGAAACAAAACACAACAGAAGAAAAGCAATAGCAAACAGTATGCTTCGATCTGCATTCAAACTCCGTAGTTCTTTCTTTGGATGTGGATAGCATTTTCCCTCACCTTCATCTCATTCTTATGTGGCACAATCTTAGCATCTTTCATCATTCTGGTCTCTCTTTTCTGGGTACTCTCCAGTTTTAAAGTTCTTACTGAAATGTGGTACTCAGAACTGAATGAAAGAAAAACATTGAGTATTTGCTATGAGCTAACACTGTTCTCAGCACTGAGAATGTAAATAGAAAAGTCCTTTCCTTTAAGGAGCTTACCTTCTAATGGGGAAGATGCCATACTTAAGGGAGTGGTGGCCAGAAAAGGGAGTCAAGGTCTGTGAAGTCCTTGGTATGAGTTCTACAACAGGGCAGTCAACTGACATTCCCTTTGAAAGGCAATGGTGATGGATAATAATAGCTCTCATTGATATAGCACTTTAAGGTTTGCAAAGCACTTTAGGAATGTTATCTCTTCTGATTCTGACAACAACCTTGTGAGGAAGGTCCTCTTATCATCCCCACATTAAAGATGTGGAAATTGAGGCAAGCAGACACTAAGTGACTTCCTAGACTTGCATGACTAGTAAGTATCTGAGGCAGGATTTGAATTCATGTCTTCCTGATCCAGCTTCAATAGAATTTAGCTGCCAATGGGAAGGTTAATTTGCTTAAAATTCTCAGGGGAAGAAGCAGCAAAAACAAAAACAAAAATGAAAACTAATTAAATGCAACTTTTGGCTGCATCAAAAGGGATGGTTCAGGAAGAGCTGAATGACAGTCCAACTGTACTCTGCTCTTGTCTCACTTCATGTGGAGTATTGTGTCAATTTTGGGCAACACGGGTTTAAAAGGGCATAAATAAAATAAAGAATTTCCAGAGGAAGGCAACTAAGATAATGGATGGTCTTGATTCCTTGTCATTTTTGGCTTGGTTCAAGGAATCTGGCATGCTGAGCCTAGAGAAGAAAAGATATGGGGATTTGGGAGGGGCACATTATATCTGTCTTCAAGTAGTTGAAGGGCTATCTCATAGGAGAGGGACTTGACATTCCATTTGGCCTCGGTGGGCAGAACTAGGATCAGCCAGTAGAAGTTGCAAAGAGGCAGATTTGGGCTTAATATCAGCAAACCCATCCCAACAATTAGATCTGTCTCAGAGTGGATGGACAGCCTCAAGAGGAGATGGATTGCCAGTCCTTGGAGGTTTTCAAGTAGAGTTTCAATGACTGTCAAGATATGTATTATAGTGGAGACATCTTTTGTGTATGGGTTGGACTGGATGGCTGTTGAGATCCTTCCCATTTCTCGTATTCTGAAATTCTATGACCTCCATCTGATGGGCTCTCTCTTCTTGCTTTTCAGGAGAAGGACATAATGAAATTATATCATGCCCCGAAAGCAGAGAAGCCTTTTGTGTTTCACGTAAATACAAATGGCACCACTTCTACCTTTCAATCAGCTGCTTATCCTGGCTGGTTCATCTGTAGTTCAACGGAGAAAGGGAAACCTGTCAAGATGACCAAAGATGTGGGAAAAGACAATACAGCTTTCTATTTTGACCCCAAGGTTTGAGCCTGGCCTGGACCAAGTAGCCTCAGTTCAACAAAAGGCTGGTCTGTTTGCACAGTATATTACATGTTCCAAAATACTTTCATGGATATGAATCCTGAGCCAGTGCTGGGTGACAGGAAACATAACTAGGGTGTGTTCCTGCCTTCTAGGGGCTTAGATTTAATACCATTGAGTTGAATTAACCTCTATGTAACTGTTGCAATCATTAATATAGATGTTCCGTGTGACTGAGGCTTTTAATATCTCAACTTGCTGAACTCCCCATCCACATTTCTCCTCACATTCTCCAAGGGAGCAGCCACCCATCTAAGCAGTTTCTAATGACTGGGGGTGGGGAGGCTGACAGCAGATATGGGAGCCTTGGTCGGGTGGCACTTGGGAATATTTGTCTTCTGGAATTGCTCTGAGGAGGATGCTTTCCAGACCAGACCTGTGCCAGGTGCAGAAGTTTTGTTTCTCAGACCTAAAGCATTGGCGTCAAGGAACATGAAGAATTTTCTAAAAAAAAAAAAGCATTAAAGATGCTGTCTCCAGTGGTCTATGAATATGAACTGAATGAGTTTGTCAGGATGTTAGGGTTATTGAAAGCATATGAGTGTTCACATACTCAAACATAAAATATCTTGATTTTTTTATATATATGTGCGTGTGTGTGTGTGTGTATATATATGTATATATATATACACACACACACGCACATATATAATACATCTTTATACATTTAAAACATCATTATATATGAGGATGTGATATATTTTATAGGTATGTTATATGTTAAATATGCATTTAATGGATTATACACAAACAAGCACATGTACGCACACACACACACATGCACAAGAATGTGTGCATACACAGAGTAGATTGCATAGCATAGTTCAGGGGTGGGGAACCCATGTCCTCAAGGCCACATGTAGCCTTCTAGGTCACTGGGTGTGGCCTTTTGACTGAGTCCAAAATTTACAGACCAAATCCTTTTATTAAGGAGATTTTTTCTATGAGGTTTGGATTCAGTCAAAGGGCCACACTTGAGGACCTAATGGACCACATGTGGCCTTGAGGCCAAAGGTTCCCTGATATAGTTGATCAAGACATTGAATTGGGATTTAGAGGACCTGGGTTCAAAATCTAACTGTGCCACTTATTACCTGTGTGACTGTGGCCAAGTCATTCAATCTCCCCAGGCCTCAGTCTTCTCACCTGTAAAATGAGAGCATTGATTTCAATGGTTTCCCAGATCCCTTCCTCCTATAAATCCAGGTTCCTAGCTTTCTAAGGCCAAATTAAAGTTGGCAATGTCTCATAGAAAACAGGTGGAGTGATTGCTGTTCAGACTCACAGGAAGGGAGAACTGGGAGATACCCCTCACTTTGGAAATGAAGACACAGAGATGTTGTGTCACCCCTTAGCTCACACAGTTGGTTGTGAAAGAGCTAGGATGAGAATCCAGACCTGCTAACTCCCAATTCCCCTCACCTCCACCCCAGCACTTCACTGCCTTCCTGATTTGAAACAGGATTCAGTAGATAACGAAAGATTGTGCCGACTCTGATGACAAAGGTATTGGAGAGGCACCTGGCTCACATCCACATTTGTACCTAAACGGTATAATCAGAGATATCATTAGCCCTGAACCAAGAGCACATCTGGGTAGATCTCAGTGCATATTGTTACCTGGATGTAAGAACTAATATTCACCATCTACCATCTCTGTGAAGCCATGGGTATGAATGAAGGGATGGGTAGGTGTATAAGAGATATTTAGTTCCTCGTGCAAAATTATTTTGCTGCTATAAATGTTGTTATTGAGTTGTGTGTGACTCTTTATGGTGCTGTATGGGGTTTTCTTGGCACAAATACTGGAGTGGTTTTCCATTTTCTTCTCCAGTGAATTAAGGCAAACAGAGGTTAAATGACTTGCCCAGGGACACAAAGCTAGTGAATGTCTGAGTCTGTATTTGAACTCAAATCTTCCTAATTTCAGGCCCAGTGCTCTATCCACTGAGCCACCTAGCTGCCTCTGAATAGCTGCTTATAAATGAATTACCACATTACTGAGTGCCTGAAATATCATTTTTTAATTTGACGTTTTGTGACTTTTATTTACAAGCTAACAAAGGATATGTCTATGATTCTTAGCATGTAACAGCTCCTGTCCCAGTTCCAAGCCCTCCAACAGGCTCAGAAAGAGGGCAGTGTCCTTCATCTTCCCTCCAACTCATCTCTGAAATCTGCCACCAGCGTTTCAGCTTGAGACTCAGGCAGGTTCTTCCTGGGCCTTAGATCAGGTACCCTTCCTAAGAAATGGCAAGGATCATGGGTGAAGGAATTTATCCTTGGTGAACTTCTAGGGAAGGATCTCCAAACCTCCAAATTTTTACTCACCTGAATCTCCCACAATTTTGCCACTGTCAGGTATGGGTGATTTGGCCTTGGGCAAACAATTAAGTACTTTAAGACTAAACATGGCAGAGTGTTGCTGATCTGTGCAGAAAGAAAGTGTTTTATCCCTGGGAGTTCCCTGTACCAATGAAATCAAAAGTCCAGTCCACAATTCAAACTCTCTCAGAAAATGGACTTCAGAAATCTGATGGGTGATAGCAAGAGTTGAGGGAATCCATTTAGGAGGGAGGGGCTTGGTCATTCCTGGGTTCTGTGATCTTTAGCAATTGTGGTAGAATATGTGTGTGTATGTGGTGTGTGTGTGTGTGTGTGTGTGTGTGTAAACAATATGTCTTCTAAAGACAGAGAACTTGAATTAAAATCCCACCTTTGGCATTTATTGCTGTATGGACTTGGGCCAGTCATTTCCTCTCAGTGGGCCTCAGTTTCCTCATCTGTAAAATGATAGGGTTGGACTAGATGACCTCTCTGGAACCTTTCAGTTGTAGACCTCTGATCCTAGCAAGGTCAACATTCCTCAGCTTTGATCAGTCCAATGGGGACTGGTAACTAGCTCTGCTAACCTCATAGGAGTGGTAGAAGGTTCCAATGAAACATTCTAAATATGCTTTGAAAAGTTAAAGAACACTCTATGGATATCTGGCAGTTTTGTCAGCAACCCTCCCACATAGAGCTCACTCATACCTTCTGGTTTATGTCTGTTTCCATGATATCAGTGCCAGTATGTGGCAGTCCCATTGTGGGTTGTGTCAGAGGTTGGATTTGAATGCAGGTCTTCCTGACTCCCAAGTCCAATTCTGTATCTGCTATCTCCTGTTGCCTCCCTTGTGAGAGTGATTGGGGCAGCTAGGTGGTGCAGTGGATAGAATACTGGCCCTGGAGTAAGGAGAACATGAGTTGAAATCTACCTCAGACACTTACTAGCTGTGTGACCCTGAGACAGTCACTTAATATCAACTGCCAAGAGAGAGGGGAGGAGGGGAGGGAGAGACAGAGAGTGTGACAGAGAGAGAGAGAGAGAGAGAGAGAGAGAGAGAGAGAGAGAGAGAGAGAGAGAGAGAGAGAGAGAGAGAGAAATTGAACTGAAGGATACAGGAAATGCCCCTGTTTAAGGGTATCCAGGGAGTCACATTAAGGACAGACACATGTAGAGGGATGAAAAAGGGATCTTCCATGGAAAGAAGGAAGCAAGTATTTATGAAGCACATACTATATACCTAGTATTGTGCTAGGCGCTTTACAAATATTTCATTTCATCCTCAAACTAACCCTGGAAGGTAGGTGCTATTATTCCCATTTTATAATTGAGGAAACTGAGGAAAACAGAGTTTGAATGACTTGCCCAGGGTCTCACAGTCTGTAAGTATCCATGGCTGGACTTGAACTCAGGTCTTCCTGACTTATGGTTGTCCTGTGTCCAGGCCCAGAGCTCAATTCACTGTGGCACCTAACTGACATTCTGTAAAGGTCTAAAAAAACCCCTATTTTTGGGGTGAGGGTTTAGTGTTTCTATGAAAAGCTATCTCTACACCCCTTCCATTTCATGGAACTTCTATGCCTCAAACTCCCATCTCCCATGACCTCTTGCTAATTACAATTGGGGTCTCCCTGTCTATAACCTCAGAAGTGGGGAAACAAGCAGTTGTACTTATCAGAGAAGTGTCAGCTCCATTCAGTTCAGTTCCACCAGCATCTAATAGGCTCCTACCGTGTTCCATGGTGTGTAGCGTGTGCTCAGGAAAGTACCTGTGGTTTGAGGGCTGCTGAGTCCTTTTCAGGGCTGCTCTCCACCTTTGCTGTCCACCTGAGCCACCTACCTTTCACCTCTCTGGCTCCAAGAAGCTGTAACATTCCCAGCGACCACACTACAGTAAACCGTTTCAACAGATGGGGTAAACCATTTTGAGATTAATGGAGGGGTCTCAAACCCCTGGTGGAATGAGCAGATGAAAACAATTTGTTCCAACAGCCATGAAGGCAGCTGAAGCAGGCACTGTGGAGTGCTTAGAGCTTGGTTAGACATGGAAGACAACAATGTCATCCTCTACATCTTGAGCCACGCCAGTCATCCTGATTCTATCCTGCCACTGAACTGTGATGACTCTGGAGGAGAGAGTGAGGCTGATGACTTCATGCAATTCTGCCTCACTTAAATCCAATTTATGCCTGAATCAAAAGATATCACCCATGTCATTTTACCACTTTTACCCATCTCAAAGTTCCATGGCAACAGCAAGTGACAAAGCAGTGGGTTCAGATACACTGGGAACTACAGTCACAGCCCTGTACACAGGCAGCCCAGGCCATAGGGTCACCTTCTTACTGGAAGCAGCAGTGGGATTTGTGCCCCTCCCTGCCCCACCCTGGGTGGAGTGACTTTCCTGTCTGAGCAGCCAGTTGGAAGGATCATACTGCTCATCTCCTGGTGTGAGAAAGGGAATAGAAAAAGAGCCCTAAAAATTGTCTGTTTATCCAGCCATGGACTGATTACTGTGGCAGGTGGGGATCCCACCCTGAGGTTGAAGCATAAAAAATGTACAAAAACATCTGCAAAGACGATTCCAATCACCATCGGCGAATGGAATGTGTGCACATTTACAGACATTAAGAAATCCAGCCTATCTGAAAGACAAATTGCTCTTGTTGCAAGAGAACTCAGCAGGTATTGCATCCAAATAGCAGCCCTGAGTGAAACAAGGCTGGCAAATGAAGGCCACCTTTCTGAAGTTGGAGAGGGATACCCATTTTTCTGTAGGGGCCGCAGAGAAGGGGAGTGCCGGGAAGTTGGTGTAGGTTTTACAATCAAAACCAATCTAGTCAACAA